CATGACTGTGAAGCATAGACTTCAAAAAGTAAAGAAGGTAGCAACTTGCAGTTGTGGAGATGTTAAGACTGAGATAATATGTGGAGCAAATATTATGCAGAGTAATGAATGTAAAAGTAGGTCTTAGACAGGGATGTGTAATGTCACCATGGTTGTTTAATATATTTATAGATGGGGTTGTAAAGGAAGTAAATGCTAGGGTGTTTGGGAGAGGGGTGGGATTAAATTATGGGGAATCAAATTCAAAATGGGAATTGACACAGTTACTTTTTGCTGATGATACTGTGCTTATGGGAGATTCTAAAGAAAAATTGCAAAGGTTAGTGGATGAGTTTGGGAATGTGTGTAAAGGTAGAAAGTTGAAAGTGAACATAGAAAAGAGTAAGGTGATGAGGGTGTCAAATGATTTAGATAAAGAAAAATTGGATATCAAATTGGGGAGGAGGAGTATGGAAGAAGTGAATGTTTTCAGATACTTGGGAGTTGACGTGTCGGCGGATGGATTTATGAAGGATGAGGTTAATCATAGAATTGATGAGGGAAAAAAGGTGAGTGGTGCGTTGAGGTATATGTGGAGTCAAAAAACGTTATCTATGGAGGCAAAGAAGGGAATGTATGAAAGTATAGTAGTACCAACACTCTTATATGGGTGTGAAGCTTGGGTGGTAAATGCAGCAGCGAGGAGACGGTTGGAGGCAGCGGAGATGTCCTGTTTAAGGGCAATGTGTGGTGTAAATATTATGCAGAAAATTCGGAGTGTGGAAATTAGGAGAAGGTGTGGAGTTAATAAAAGTATTAGTCAGAGGGCAGAAGAGGGGTTGTTGAGGTGGTTTGGTCATTTAGAGAGAATGGATCACAGTAGAATGACATGGAAAGCATATAAATCTATAGGGGAAGGAAGGCGGGGTAGGGGTCGTCCTCGAAAGGGTTGGAGAGAGGGGGTAAAGGAGGTTTTGTGGGTAAGGGGCTTGGACTTCCAGCAAGCGTGCGTGAGCGTGTTAGATAGGAGTGAATGGAGACGAATGGTACTTGGGACCTGACGATCTGTTGGAGTGTGAGCAGGGTAATATTTAGTGAAGGGATTCAGGGAAACCGGTTATTTTCATATAGTCGGACTTGAGTCCTGGAAATGGGAAGTACAATGCCTGCACTTTAAAGGAGGGGTTTGGGATATTGGCAGTTTGGAGGGATATGTTGTGTATCTTTATATGTTTATGCTTCTAGACTGTTGTATTCTGAGCACCTCTGCAAAAACAGTGATAATGTGCGAGTGTGGTGAAAGTGTTGAATGATGATGAAAGTATTTTCTTTTTGGGGATTTTCTTTCTTTTTTGGGTCACCCTGCCTCGGTGGGAGACGGCCGACTTGTTGAAAAAAAAAAAAAAAAAAAAAAAAAAAAAAAAAAAAAAAAAAAAAAAAATGAATGTATAAGTTAGAAAATAGTGAAGAGGGTTATTCAAGGTTCAGTATAAGTCAGAGGGCAGAGGAAGGGTTGCTGAGATAGTTTAGTCATTTAAAAAGTATGAAACAAATAGATTAACCATGAAGGTATACATATAAATCCAAGGTAGCTAAGAGAAGGATTAAGGATCATCTCAGAAAGAGTTGGACGGAATGCAGAAGTGTTATTTGGAATATGACAAGTTACTGGGATGTGAGCCAGGTAATATTTATGAAAGAATTCAGGAAGGTAGTAAGTACAGTGCCTACACTCTGAAGGGCAGAGATGTTGCAGCTGAGAGTCATCTAAAGAGCAATATCTCTCTCTCACTCTCATATATGTATATATGCAATAAGAACACAGTAAACAGGTGATATTACAATATGCAAAATAACCACTATGAAAAATTGTGAAATTCCAAGCCCATTCATGATTTCTTACATTATGAGAGAATAATATGAGAAATCACAAAAGCAATTGGAATTTCACTGTTCTTTCATTGTGGTTATTTTGCATATGTATATATAAGAGACAGAGTGAGGTTGTTGAGATGGTCTGGATATTCAGAAAGATGGAAAAGTATACAAAAAATAGAAAGGATGAAAATTGAAAGAAAGTAATGAAGGCAAATAATGGATTCACTAAGTTTTGTGAGTGTTTAGATAAGTAAATGAGACAAGTGGTTGTTATACATGAATGCTGTTGGTAAGGAATAAGGGATTTGGAAAGGACAACTCAAATCCTGAAAAAGCCAGTGCTGCACTCTGAAGAGGGGTGGAAGTAAAGTGGAAAGTAATTGATGAGATGTCACCCATTTCTAAGACAGCAACTGAATCACCTGTTTGTGTGGGAAGGCAGACTATTCTACTTAGTGAGGTCAGCAGGTGGTGTTACTGATTATAGGAATGATACATTCAGTAATTGGACTTGGCCCACAGTATCATTTTGCCCCAATAGAATCTTGATTTGATGAGGAAAAGGTGAGGGTGCATTAGAGTCTGTGGAGACAAAGAACTTTGTCTTGGAGGCAAAGAGGAATGTATGAGAGTATAGTTTTCAAGCTCTTTATGGGTGTGAAGCGGGTGATGAATTTGCGCGGGAGAAGGTGGAGGCAGTGGAGATTCATGTCTGAGGCAGGGTGGTGTGAATAATGCAGAGATTGTAGTTGGATTAGGAGGAGTGGGATTACCAAATGTTGTCCAGAGGTGAGGAGGGTTTTGAGGGGTATCGGACATGTAGAGGAATGGAGCGAAACAGAATGACTCAAGAGTGTATCAGTCTGTAGTGGAAGGAAGCGGCGTAGCGGTCGCCTAGGAAGGTGGGGGAGGGGGTAAAGGAGGTTTGTGATGCGAGGGGCTGGACTTCCAGCAGGCACGTGACGTTTGATAGGAGTGAATGGAGACAAATGGTTTTTAATACTGACGTGCTGTTGGGTGTGAGCAAGAACATTTATGAGGATCAGGGAACCGCAGGCCGGACTTGAGTCTAGTTGGGAAGTACAGTGCTGCACTCTGAAGGGGGTGTTAATGTTGCAGTTTAAGAAACGGGTAGTGTAAAGACCTTCTGGCAGCAGTATGGAGTGAATGATGGTGAAGTTTTCTTTTTGGGCCCACCCTGCTTGTGGGAATCGCCGGTGATAATAAAAAAAAAAAAGGATCAGAGACCCTTGGAACCTGGGGAAACCATGCTATCATGGGTTTCCTCAGAGTTGGGCTCCAGGCCTACTGAAACCACCAGAGACTCTAAGGCTACCACATTTCTAGTCCAACACCCCAGTGGGGTAAGCCAGGGGAAACGCCTGCTGCATCTTGCATTCCTGGCTGGCATCCAAGAAGCTCCAGGAGCTCTACAATTTTTATTTAAATTTCTACATACTGTGTACTTGTAATGTATCTCTTACACCTTTTGTATTAGTATAAAATTAATAAATAAATCTCCATGGGAAAGTGAAAAAGAATCCTTCTTCCATAAGCCATGTGTGTTGGAAGAGGCAAAATAAATCCTGGGAGCAAGAGGTTAGTAACTCCTTCTCTTGTATAGATTACTAAATGTAAAAAGAATATATTTAATATATTTATTTATTAATATTAACATACCAGCCATCTCCCACATATACAAATACATCTACATGTATACACAAAAAATCAACTCAACGGATGTTTCCCGACAAGGCAGGGTGACCCCATGAGGAAAGCACACTGACACTCACTCAATTCTCACCTTTCCAGAAATGTGCTAATATCACAACTGGATTACTGTCTGACTGCATCCTCACCCCTCCTTCAGGGTGCAGAAGGGGTGGGCTCAAGTCCAGCTAGCCAGTTTTTCTTAACTCCTTCATAAAAATTACCATCCTTACATAAATAACAAAAAAAGGCACAATACCGTGACTGGAACGATACACAAATAACCCGCACATAAAAGAGAGAAGCTTACGACGACGTTTCGGTCCGACTTGGACCATTTACAAAGTCATACTAACCAGAAGTGGAGCAGGACGGCTATATATAGGCAGGAAGAGGTGGTGGTAGTAGTAGTAGTAGTAGTACAAGTAGTAGTACTACTACTACCACCACCACCTCTTCCTGCCTATATATAGCCGTCCTGCTCCACTTCTGGTTAGTGTGACTTTGTAAATGGTCCAAGTCGGACCGAAACGTCGTCGTAAGCTTCTCTCTTTTATGTGCGGGTTATTTGTGTACCATCCTTACACACCAATCTAATACTTTCTCACAAGTCTGCTGGATTCTCAAGCCCTTAAAACTCGAAACCTTTTGTACCTCTTCCTTTGAACCTTTCCTGGAACAACCCACTCACCACTCACATCTTCTAACCCAGAAAAGGATGCTCTTTGTCAACCTATCCCTTTCCATTCTCTCTACAAACCGAAACCACATCAACCCCTCCTCAGCCCTTTGAATTAAACCTTTGATCATCCTCACATCATCTCTTAATTTCTACGATTCAAATTCTATGTACAGTCACACCACACATTCTCTCAAACATGGCATCCCTACTGCCTCTAGCCTTTTCACCACAGCATTCAACACTCATGATTCACATCAATATAAAAGTGTTGGTACCACTACATTCTGGTACATTTGCTTACATTTTTTCCCTCCATAGATAAACTAATATATATTCCACAGATACTTCAACCTCCATGGGGAAGTGGAACAGAATTCTTCCTCCGTAAGCCATGCGTGTCATAAAAGGCGACTAAAATGCCGGGAGCAAGGGACTAGTAACTCCTTCTCCTGTATATATTATTAAATTTAAAAAGAGAAGCTTTCGTTTTTCTTTTTGGGCCACCCTGCCTTGGTGGGATACGGCCAGTTTGTTGAAAAAAAAAAATTATAAGATTAAAACTCTGAAACCATTTAAATGTGTTAAGAATTAGTAATAAATTATATGTTATGTGAGGACATAATTAAACTTTAAGTCAAACACTGGATTCCAAAAACTTTTTTCTGTAAATAGTTAATTTAACAAAACAGACATTTCCCACATGAATGTAAAATCTTCAATGACTATAATGTACACTTGTAAAATAACTTACCTTTGGATCATACTTCTTGAACTGGTCAAGACCTAATCCTGAAAAAAATAATATAAGTGTTAAAAAGCATTAGCTACATAACATTAAAAAATCAAGAAAAAATCATATCTAAGTTACTTACAATAAAGTACTTGAGATTTGTTTTTATCTGAAAATATATAGATGACATCATTTGAAAAAATGTGGGATCTTTAGAATTTTATTTCCACTCAATAATGCAGACAGTTACTGTAATTAATCTGTAACAGCAAGACAGACAAAATTTTTAAGCTTGTCATTTTAAAAAAGAAAATAGGGCTGGTAATATGAATGATCAAGCAAATAACTGTAAGGGTGTGCCCCAAAACAAACACAGGGAGAAAGAGAGGCAAGGTAAGCATTCAGCACATGCACCAAGCAAGTCACAACACCCATGCAAACAACTTAACAATTCAACTTAAGTTTCATTCTACACTTTAAAGGATGATTATATTAATGGAATATAATATAAACAACTTGATGAGTAAGGCATGTGATACAACTTTTTCTTTTAACACACTGGTTGCCTCCCACCAAGGTAACATAATATAAACTGCACACCTCTGACAGTCAAGACAGTGATAGTGTGAGTGATGGTTGAAGTGTTTCTTTTTCAGATCACCCTATCTCAGTGGGAGATGGCCAGTGTGTTACAAAAATATATAAATAAAAGAGGTTTTGTGTGCAAGAGGCTTGGACATACAGCAGGACTCCTATCTAACATGCGTTAGATAGGAGTGAGTAGAAGCTAATTAATTATTTTTGGGACTTGACGAGCCGTTCGAATATGAGCAGGGTAATATTTTGTGAAGAGATTTAAAGAAACTGGTTAGCTGGACTTAAGTCCTGGGGGTGTGAAGTACAATGCCTGCACTCTACAGGAGGGATTTGGGATATCTCCTGTTTAGAGGGGCACTTAAACTATCATATCTGCATGCTTTTGCAAAGACAGTTATTATGTGTGAATGATGGTGGAAGTGTTTTTCTTTTGTGGGTCACCCTGCCTTGGTGGGAGACGGCCGGTATGTTTAAAAAAATACCTTTCTTTCAATGCACTGGCTGTATCCCACCGAAGCAGGGTGGCCCAAAAAAGAAAAACACTTACACCATCATTCACATACAATCACTGTCTTTGCAGAGGCATGAAGATATGACAGTTTAGATGTCACTCTAAACAGCAAATATCCTTAACCCATCCTTTAAAGTGCAGGTACTGTACTTCGAACCTCCAGGACTAATGTCTGGCTAACCGGGTTCCTTGAATTCCTTCACAAAATATTACCCTGCTCACACTCCAACAGCTCATCACATCCCAAAAACCATTCGTCTCCACTCACTCATATCTAACATGCTCACACATGCCTGCTGTATGTCCAAGCCCCTTCCACACAAAACCGTTTTTTACCCTCTCCCTCCATCTTTTCCGAGGACAACCACTAACCCCTCCTCCCCTCCACTTTAGCTCTATACACCCTCCAAGTCATCCTATTTTGCTCCATCCTCTCTAAATGACCAAACCACCTCAAAAACCCCTCCTCAACCTTTTGAATAATACTTTTAGTAGTTCCATGTATCTTCCTAATTTCCACACTACGAATTATCTACATACTGTTCATGCCACATTGCCCTTAGACACATCACTGCCTCCAGCCTCCTCCTCACTGCAATATTAACAACTCATGCTTCACACCCATATAAGAGTGTTGGTACTACTGAACTCTCATACATTCCCTCTTTCCCTCCATTGATATTGTTCTTTGTCTCCACAGATATCTCGATGCACCACCCACCTTTTTTCTTTCACCAATTCTATGATGGTAGGATTGCTGGTGTCTTTTTTTTCTGTCTCATAAACACACAGGATACCAGGTATATCTTGCTACTTCTATTTGCACTCAGGTCACACTACACATGCATGTACACGCATATATAAATACCCATCTGGGTTTTCTTCTATTTTCTTACTAGTTCTTTTTCTTCTTTATTTCCTCTTATCTCCATGGGGAAGTGGAACAGAATTCCTCCTCTGTAAGCCATGCAAGTCGTAAGAGGTGACTAAAATGCCGGGAGCAAGGGGCTAGCAACCTCTTCTCCTGTATAAATTACTAAATTTGAAAAGAAAAACTTTTCATTTTTCATTTTAGGTCACCCTGCCTCAATGGGATACGGCCGGTTTGTTGAAAAAATATATAAATATGCACACATATACATGTACGTTCATGCTGGATACTCAGGCCCCTAGACTTCAAAACCTTATCTCCCTCCCTCCAATTCTTTCCTAGTCTACCTTTATTCCTCTTCCTTCCACTTCTGATTTATATGCCCTCTTGATCTTCTCCATTCCCTCTAAGTACCCAAACTCAACAACCCCTCCTCAATCCTCTGAATTGTGCTTTTTCATTACCCCACACCTTCGTCTAATTTCTATGCTCTGAAATTTCTGCATAATAGTCACACTACACAGCCCCATTAAATATGACATCTTCACTCCTTCAGCCTCCTCCTTGCTACAATGTTTAAAGTCCATGTTTCACAACCATATAAGTGTGGTCCATTCCTCTGTTAAAATACTGTACTGTTATTAGAATCTGTGTTTTACTTTAATTGAAAAAACATTATTATACACAGCATTTCAGGCAGACTGAAAATAGGACTAAAACTATTTAATACTAATAAATTACATGGCTGAAGGAGCTCTAGTGTGCATACACATAAAGGTAACCAAAAGTACAAAAACTGGGCAGAACAATAAGGAGTCACTCATACACACTGACATTACTGAGGTTATATAGAGGCAGCTATTCCTAACATGGTTCAAGTAATTCTTCACAAAAAGTACTGTAATTTTTCTATTACTCAAAATTACATTCTGTATTCTTGTACAGGTCTCCCTCAACATTCGCGAGGGTTAGGGGATCAAGAGCCTCGCGAATGTTGAAAAACCATGAATGTTTGGTGCCCCAATATATTGTAGGGAAATATATTACAATACTGCTTCCTTAACTTGTTGAACCATGAATAATCATAAAATACATGAAAATGTTGTAAATTGTACTAAATATATACATATTATGCTTTAATAATGTATGTTATTTAATAACATGTATGTTATTAAATACCACAGACTCCACCACTGCGAGCCCCTACTACCCTCCCTCCGACCCCCGCAACTGGCAGCCAGCCCTCCCACCACTCAGTGTGGTGAGTGTTTTGTTTGTTCATTATTTGCTATTAAACTACAGAATAAATAATGTAAACCCATTCATGATTGCATATTGGAATGGCTATTAGGAAAGGTATTAGACGGTGACATCATGTGTTTACTCTTGAACACAGCAAAGAATCGACATTTCTGCTATTGCTAATAATAACAATAGTAATAATAATAATAATAATAATAATAATAATAATAATAATAATAAATACGATATAATTGAAGAAGGAAATTGTACAAAAATACGAGGGAGTGGTTGACACATCGTCAGTGTGACTTTGTTTATGCTGGAGTGAACATTAGTCTCCCTGCTCTTCCAAACATTTCACAATAATTCAGCTGTTGAGGCAGTGGTATTTAATAACATATATGTTATAAATAATAATAGTACATGTTATTATTAATAACATGTATTATTATTAACATGTATGTATTTAATAACATATATGTTATAAATAATAATAGTACATATTATTAATAACATGTATTATTATTAACATGTATGTTATTAAATACCATTGCCTCAATCACTGCCTCTACCACTCCAGTCACACTCAATCTACAAGCACCAAACACAATGAATTACTGTGAAATGTTTGGAAGAGCAGGGAGACTAATTTTCACTCCAGCATAAACAAAGTCACACTGACGATGTGTCAACCACTCCCTCGTATTTTTGTACAATTTCCTTCTTCAATTATATCATATTTATTATTATTATTATTATTATTACTATTGTTATTATTAGCTGTAGCAGAAATGTTTAATTCTTTGCAGTGTTCAAGAGTAAACACATGATGTCACCGTCTAATACCAATCCGAATAGCCAATCCAATATGCAGTCATGAATGGGTTTACATTATTTATACTGTAGTTTAATAGCAAATAATGAACAAACAAAACACTCACCACACTGAGTGGTGGGAGGGCTGGCTGCCAGTTGCGGGGGTCGGAGGGAGGGTAGTAGGGACTCGCAGGTGGCGGGAAACTTAAATATGATTTGGCGGCTGGGAATTTGGTGGCTGGGAATTTGGCGGTTGGGAATTCGCGAATGTGTGAAGCCCGTGAAAGTTGAAAACGTTAATGTTGAGGGAGACCTGTATATAGTTACAAATACGACTATAACTATAATGATTATAGTCTAGGGTAAAACTGGCACACATTTCATTTGAAAAATTTAGGCAAACACATAATTAACTAAAACATTCTGGAACTCATTTTTTTTTTTTTGCTCTGTTCTTGGTAGACTAAAAGTTTTGGATTAACAGGGTTTGACTAGCATATTATACTTTTGTAAATTAATAATCTTGTGTACTTTTTGAGAGCATGCCTGTACAGTGCCAATCTATGTTCAATACAATAACATGATAAAAATTCAACATTATGGGATATTTGCACAGCTGACATATAACACCTTCAGTTTCCCATTTTAACTGTTGCCTCTTAACACCAAAGAAACACACCATTCATATAAGGATTTTCCTATCCTCTAAGCAATATAAAACTACATTTGGGAGCAAACTGCACAAGAATATGGCAATGTATTCCCTCATCAGTGAAGATAACAACAGGTGATCTTAATACTGTAACTCCAGATAAATATTATCTGTGTTAGTAAGAGAGACACTGTATTTCTACTTACATTAGCCTTATTAATACCTGGGGTGTCAAAATCCTCATGAATGCAAAGTATTTAAAAATGTTCTCAGTACTTAAGAGGGATGGATCTTCTTTTCATACGTTTTCTTCTTAGCTCTGCACTGCCTCCTTAAATGCAACACCATATTTTTAACACTGCTCTTTTAT